TTGTACGTGACTCGATTTAGTATCAGTCACGGGTCGTACAGGCGAATTTCCCAAAAGCCACCCGTTAGTCTGAGAAACGCTCGAGTTACGTTATGTATATATAATTTAAATAATGATTAGAGACCAAACCGAGCATCCGAAAATTCGGAAAGTCGCGGCAGGACCTTTGGACGACGTTGTAATTGGAACGTGCATCTCTGGATTTCTTCGGATTTTTCAGAAAAGTTCGATTTCGGTGAGAAACGAAGAAACTGACCATTTTACACCTAAGGATTAACAAAGGGCATGTTTTATGGGCAAAGGGCATTTTGGTAATTTTACCATAACCTTTTGATTGGACAATTTTGCCCTTGAACTTTTTGAGAAATTACAAGTATACCCTTGGATATTTTTGGTAAGATTCAATCTGGGCCGTTGATTTCAAGATTGGATCGAATCTGGACCGTTGGATTAAAAAGATTAGACGAGGGCGTTTTGGTAAATTGTCAATTTGGGTCAAATGTACACTATTTAAGTCCACAAGACCCATTTCTCTCTCCTCTCTTCTCTCTCTCCCCACCGAAATCCCCCCCACCGTGAACTCCTCCCCCCCTTCGGCCGCCTCTCCCTCACGCCGTCGCCGCCGCGCCATCACCGCCGCCGGTTACGTCCGCCGGATCGCCGCCGCGCCACCGCCAAGCCTCACGCTCCCCATCCCGCCGTTTTCTCTCTCCCTCTCGGTCTTTCTCTCTTGGCCGTGAGCCCCCGGCCACCGCCCAAGCCGTGCCGTCGCCACCCAAGCCGATCGCCGCCCGCCGGGAGCCGTACATCGTCGCCACCGTTCCCGATTAAGTTCCGCCGATTTCCGTTCTAGCCACGATAGTCTAGAACGCGGGTAAGTCGTGCTCTAAACCCGACTTAGGTTATTGGGTATTGACGGATGATTTTTGGGTGAAATCGGATTTAGATTATGTGCGAAATGTTATGATTCGGGAGTGAAATCAATTGGCGGGCCTAGGATTGAATTTCGGAAAATTTTTATTGGAAATTTGAGGACAACCGTGGGCTGTGGATGACTTTTCATGGGGCTGTGATGGGCCGATCGAGACACAAATTGAATTTTTAGAACCGATATTTAATGGCGAGAAAGTCTCGTGAAGGATCGGGTTCGATTTGACGTCGTTTGGTGGGAGAAAAATAGCAATTTCCGTGTTTTTCGTGCGTTGGAATTATGACCGAGTGTGGTGTTGAAATTGAGAGTGTGATTGTGTAATTGGTTGACTTAATTATGTTTGTTGGGTGCACGTTTGGGCCAGATTATTTTAATTATTAAAATTGGCCGTGTCGACTGCTGAGTGAGCATGGTTTGTGAATAATGGTTGCGTGCACGGGCCACGTGTGATTGGCCAGTTAAGTGGCAAATGATTGTTGCACGTGTGAAAGAACGAGAAATAGTGTGTGGTACGGTATGTGAGATCCTGGAAATTGTGCCGTCCTGAGGCGTGTTCGTTTACGCGGGACGATGCCCGGTATTACCAGAAGACTGCCAGCCTGAGGCGTGTACTTCAACGCGGGTTGCGCAGTAGGTGGTAGATGTTGAGCCTGAGGTGTGTACGTTTACGCGGGCAAGAAACATGGCCTGAGGCGTGTACTGTAACGCGGGCCTGGAGTGTGGTGATGAGATAGTCGCAGTGGACCTGAGGCGTGTACTGTAACGCGGGTCACTAGCGAGTGGTACGGAAAGGAATGTGATGAGGCAAACGGAAATGCGCGAGAATGAGAATTAATCATGCATGTGATTGCTTATAATGTGACTGCGACTAACGTGCAGGGTGCAAGCAGGATAAGTCAGGTAAATTAATTGATGTGCTTGCTATGTGTCGATTTGGCGTTGGTGTGTTATTTGTGTTTGTGTAGTTGTCTGGAGGTACGTGATAGCCTAGGTGGGGTTTAGGGGTGAGCTTACTGAGAAGTGTTCTCACGGTTGTTTCAACCAAAAATTTCAGAATCCCGACAGGACTCATGAATCTCCCGCCACCGCCACCAGTGCGTTTTGGGGTACCAGTGCACTCCGAGAACGATGTTGCAGAATTCCCTATGCCAGATAACGTGACCTAGATTAGGTATACTACTACCATATTTGTAGAGGTAGGACTACCTTTGTGGGAAACCCATGTATGTTCGGCCTGGTTCTTCCGGGATGCTGACGGGGATGAGTTCGGGCCCGTTAGGGGTTTCAATGTTCCGTTTGATTTAGTTGGGGATTGGGACCCGACTGCCGTACCCCCGATTGATGGAGAGTTGACCAGTACGGAGGTTAGCGTAGCGCAGTCTGGGATGCATCCAGCACCAGCCGCTCAGGGATCTTCGGAGGCTGAGTATGAGCCCGAGCCCGAAGCATCGCAAGCTGAGGATGACCCGATGGACATAGACTTAGAACCAATCCCCGAATAGGAACCAGAGGAAGAAGAACCAGAGGAAGTGGAGCCCGAAGCAGAACTCGAGAACGAGTCGGAGGAGTCGGAAGAGCCTGTAGGAGACCCGGAGTATATACTCCCGTTTGAGGAATACATGGATCCTGATTACGTACCTGAGATCAATTTCTTCGATTTTCTGGCTGAGGAGTATCAAAATGCAATTCCAGCTGAATCGGGCGATATCAATCACCCGATTGAGATTAATGCAGAGTCGAAATCCTCAGAGCAACAGACCGATCAAGAGAGTTCAGATTCAGGGGACGAGGAGTCAGACTCGGAATGGACGCCTAGCAAGAGGCGTAGGGGCTAATATGTAGGGGTTAAGAATATGTGTTTTGGATGAGTACCATTTTTGAAGTCAGAATACCAGGTCAATGATCTTTTTGGTGTACTGGTGGTTTAATTGCAGTGTGCTGGTGCTTATGGTGGTTGTAATCTGTAAATAGTTTATATAAGTGAGTAATGAAAAGAAATATGTGTATTCTCCCTGAATATTTTCCCCAGTTTAATTGTCCGGGTTAATTATGGATTCCGCCGTGCGTTAAATCTCTGATGATCGTATTTGAGGTCGGCAATAATTCCTGGGATGTCGCAAAATCGACCAGTGGCGGATGTCGCAAGCTCGATAGGGTTCAGGGCGTGACAATAAACATTTTAGTAATTCTTATTCTCTTTAGAAAAATATATCAACATATAGGAAGCTTCAAATAAAATGCAAGATAGTTTCATTTATCAAATTCGTGCGTCATGATAACCAACTTTTATCTAAACGAATGTCCTTGACCTTATTGAAAAGCCCAAGATTCAACATATGTTTTCGAGATGTTAATGTCTGCCAGCGCAGGGAAGCTATTAGCTAGAGGCTAGGAATATTTACATTACACTGCTTATTGTATGAATGAAGGGTATAGTATGGACTGATGATAATATTCCTAACATTATTAATTAAGAACTATTAAGTGCAACACGTTCTTGAAAAAAAAGTGCAAAATGTCGACCTTGCGTCTTTCATTTGATAAATTTAGGATTTTAGAATCTGATGTTTTCTTCTTTAGTTAAGTTAGTTTAGTATATTCATTTAGTATAGATTATTCAAACGACAGTGAAAAGGATTGTAAGGAGTTTGAAGGGCGTAATAAGCCCGCTGGTCACGATAGAAGGCGTGGAGGTGATGGCCGTGATTATTGTTGACATGGTGGAGCTTGTCATGGAGATTACCACCACGGATCGTGACCAACACCGTTGTGTTAAAGAATTACATGAATTCTCTGCAACTGCAAGGTTCTCCGTTTTAATCGATATTTGGACTTGAAAAATGTTATTGCGTATGTAAATCGCTTTTTCTTAGCTTTTTTTTTCCAATGGAGATGCTTTTTTTTTTTGTGGGATCAAGTGCCGGTTGAGTGGAAAAGAGCAAGTAAAGCGCCAATTAGAAGGTGGCATCAAAGGCGAAATCTGTTAAGGTGGAGATTTTCGTGGATTGATGATCCAGCTTATATGAAAACAAGCCAGTTTCATGTCAAACTCGATAGCAACGACCAAAAAAAAGATTGATGCTCTTATAATTCCCGTTGATAAAGTTGTTGTTGTGCCTCGAGAGCAACTAAATCGAATAATTTCGACTTTCCTTTCGAGAATCGGATTTGGAGGATTTTGAGCTTGAGGAAAAATCTCAGGTCTGAGCATGTTTTCCATGACGATGGAGAGACAATTTTGGAGAAAACCACCTCTCATGTTGATCTGAGAGAATTTGAAGCGATGGAAAATGGAAAGAATAATCGTAGACCCAAAATTGATTTCATCATCCCGATAGAAATAAAGAATCAATTGTTGGATCGATCCAAAAGTTTAGTTGGGGTATTTTCTTAAAGCCAGAAATTTTCATTAATTTTGCAGATATGGTTCCGAATTCCACAAGGATTGTACAAGTTATGCTATATCAGATAACCTGACATTTTAAAAACTCGAGGTCGAGCTTTTTTTTCCAATAAAAAGATAATGACGTGGGGAACGTTAAGATTGCATTTATGTCTTTTATCTGATAAATTTAGTATTTTAAAATTTGATATTTTTATCTTTCATTTAGCATGAGTATTTGAATTCAATTTTTTTTATTAATTTAAATTTTTAAATGAGTTATGATATTTTATCTTTGATTGGAAGATACCATAGGATCTGATCGTTTTTTTAGGTTTGGCTAGGTTTTTGTTATATTCTCGGCATTCTTTTTCTGTTACATTATTGAGTAGTAATTTTTAGAAAAACAATTGCAACTATGCATTTTTTTTGCGCTTTATGGGATCACGCAGTTCGCCTCGTTTTGAAATTATAGAAAATCGAGATATTTCTGTCTGGACGTTTTGTACTCGTAAACTTTTTTGGGTATTCACATTTATTCAATTATTTCCGTTTCCATTGCTTCATAATGGAGTTGTATTAGGGAATCCAAATCCCGCCTTCAAGCAAGACTAAAGGTCTTTAGGCATTAAGGAATTAATAGATGAGTCCATTACATTATATTCAGCTAAGGAAAACATAGTCCATTTCTTGTAAACCTCACACGCAACAGGAATAGTGAAAGTACATAATACTTGCGAATTATTTCCGATCCTCTGATCCTAGCCAGCCGCCGACGCGTCTCCTTGTGGCATCGATTCGGGATAGAACTCGGTTGTGCTTGAACCACACGTATGCGGGGAGGAGCAACATGGTGGCTAACGAGCACTCATAAAATCCACCTAGGATCATTGCTATGAGCTTATCGGATTTCGGTATTTCGATTGTAACAAAAACAAAGTAGGCAATGCTGAGAAGGCATAGAGACAAGTAAACCGTTAAAGTGTCAGGGTATAGTGTAATAGCGGTGGCCCAGACCGTGCCGATGGAGGCGGTAAAAACTAAGCTGTTGACGATAGTAAACACCAATAGACTCTTGCCGCTCAAGATCAGGTTTCCGGCATGATGAGGTTTTCCAATAGCAATGCTGCTGGAATTGGTGGTAACGACAGTGGAATTAGCCGTGGTATTTGAAGAGGAATCCTGCCAATATCCTCCCGGAGGAGTGAAAGCGGCTTGGTAAGTGGCAGTCACAATTAAGGTAGACACTATAAGGAGTATTTCGCGAACATTTTCATTTTGGGTGCCAAAATACCCTGCATACTTCTCGAACACAGTTAGTTCCATGCTAAAATACTTTGATAGTGAGAGGGTAGGAGTAGAACATCTTGCTCGATGTTCTTGACGGCGTAACCTGTTCTCAACATCTTGATTGCGATTAGGATTCTCTAGGAAGATTTGCAGAGCCGTCTTGCCCTGTAAGTTCTTCGCATGAACATTCGTATACCCAATCAATAGCTTGATGATCTGGAAAGAATGCAAACGGAACAAAATGAAATATGTATCCCTTCAATTTCAATCACCGCTTTGTGACTAAGCTTTACCATTGTGCACAAAGTGACCTCATGCCATATAAGTTTGAATGATGCTAGGGATACATGTACATAAGAAAAAAGTTTACTAAACCTTATTTATCAAATGCCATCATTTCAACAAATGTAATGAAGTCCCAAATCTTTTCATAAACTGCGATTTAGTCTTCTCACCCAAAATTATTTGTCATAGCTAGAAATTGCCCATGCGAGTTGTAACATTGGCTAATTTTGCACAAGTGATGACCCGATATATTATATTTTCCTAAAAGTTTGGGACTTAACTAAGTCAACCAAAAGGTTTATGATTAAATTACATTTTGTAAATGACCTTTTGCTATGAAGAGAAAGACTACTTGAGACTTTATGCATAAGATTGAACTGATGAGGGAGTAATTCTCACATCCACGAAGGGATTATCTTATGGTCGTGCCAAATTGTCCTTGTTAGCTTCGATTTCACTAGCTTCTATCTCGCAGATGGACTGATTACGAAAGAAGGAAAGAGATTTTGCTAATCAATAGGAGAAATTCAAGAATAGAAAAGAATGGATTAAGTTAATGTTTTATTAGGTAGGAGTGATTACGATGGAAAGAGTTGAAAGGAAATTATTCATCCAAAACCAATCTGACTTAGAGTTACTTAGAGCTCAATAAAAACGAAGTTTCATAGGGGTTCGAAGGGAAACAATTTTAATCATATCTTTTCTCTCCACTAAATAAACTGTAAACAATGTGATCTCTGTATCGCTCCAACCGGAAACATTGTTAGGCCAATTAAGATGAACTCAAATTAGAAGCATCAGGAGCTTAAAATAGTTTTCCCACTAGCAGCCTTGAAATGAAACTATGGGCTTGTTGTGCTAAAACTGAAAAGTAAAACGCTGACAATAGAAGATGACCATTAAAAGTACATCACTGAATACGATCAATTTCTTCCCAAACATGGAAGTGTGATTACTATTGATAAGTTTTAAAAGTATAATTGCGAAAAACATAAATACTATCAATTATACTGATTACTAATTGAGTTCATCCAGCGAAATTCAACCAGAAAACGTTGACATTGATGCCGGCTATCTTACGTGGTACGACCGACGTTGAGATTGACAATTTTAAATAGTATTTTAATATTTTTTGAATTTATTTATTTATTTTTGTTTTCTTTCTTTTCTTTCTTTCCTTCCCTATTTTTTTTCCCAACTATGGACTGGCAAGGTCGTCAACCATAGGCGTGGGCCAGCAAGGGCATCGGGCCCTCACCTAGATCTAGGCAAGGGCCGCAACACCCTTGCTTGGATCTTGGCAAGGGTCGCTAGCCATCACCGGCTTGTGATGGTCGGCCGGCAACCTCACCTGCCAGGGTTGTATAAAAAACAAAGAAAAGAAAAGAAAAGAAAAAAGAAAATATAACAAATTTGAGAAAATATTAAAATATTATAAAAAGTTGTCCACATTAGCATCGACTGTGCCACGTAGGACGTCTGACGTCCATGTTAGCAATTCCCAGCCAAAATTGGCCGAATTGACTCAATTGGCACAATTAATAGGTTTAAGACTGAATTGATAAAAGTATAATAGATTTATGACTTTTGGACAATTTTCCCATTGGTTTTAATAATATAATTGCGAAGAATATAAATATTATCCATTATACTAATTACTAGATCAAGTGAATGTTTTTAGTGAGTTGAGTCTTTTGAAGTCAAATAGTAATTAGGATAATATACAAGTTTAATTTTATTCAGTGCTAAATTTTCAATTACCAACGCTCAAAAGGATTTTCAAACAGGCCTATATGTTTCTAATAAATTTAAATGAAAAGAGTAAAAATTAATCTACATGCTCATGTTATCACTATCTTAATATTAGTATTTGATTTATTTTTAAAGAAAAAAAAACACTACTTGTTGACCTAATTTTCACAACCCATCTGAATGGCATAAAAAGTCTACTGTATATGTTTGGATGGAGTGGTTTGGAGAGAAATGAAATGACTGATCACTATGGAAGCAAACGAAGATAAACGAATGGATCAACCTGTAAAAACTGTATTGAATATAAGGGTCGAGCCCACCCTCCCGTGACCTTTTGCACAGGAAAATGGTCAAGGAGAGAATTGGAATAGAAGATTGGGAGGGAAGGAGTGATATCCATCCCTCCCAATTCCTTTTTCTTCTCTCCGTCAAAAAGAAACCAAATAAATTGATCCCATTCGAATCTCTTTCTCCTGGCATTTCATTACCATATAGTTGTTCTTGGATTAGATTATGTCGAATTCAAGGATCGAACAATAAAAGCACGAACAACCACGAAATCAATGAAGTATACTTGCGTGAACTATACCTCAGGTTGCTGCTCTCCAGACACAGCAATATGTAGGACAGTTTCACCATTTTGGTCTTTCCATTTCAAGATTTGTGTTAGATTGACTCGCTTAAGCCATCCACACAAAACCTCGAATGCTTTGGTGTTGTGATTCTTGACGGCAACGTGAACCGCAGTCTCGCATTGGCTTGTCAAGTCTTCGATGGACGATTTGCAAGCGAATAGGAATTCAGCCAGGAGTTCTAGCTGGTCCACGTTGTCCTGCTCATTGTCTCCTTTTTCCCTAGCTACAAAATGCAAGGGGGTGATCCCGCCTCGCCCTCGGACTCGGATCAACTTGGGGTCGAGGGTCATTAGTGCCCTCGCAGTGTGATAATGCTTCTTTTGCAAAGCCAAGTGCATGGGGCTGTGACCCCCTCGATTCAGCTTTCGAGCGAACGACGGCTTCAAGATTGCTATCTCCATGGCCACTTTTGTTTTCCCCTGGTTGGCGGCGTCGTGTAGTGGAGTATTTGGGAAGGGGCTCTCGGATCCATGATCTAAGAGATTTTCGTCCCGCTCAATTAAACTATAGAGCTCGTTAACATCATCAGCTGCTATTGTTTTTTGAAGAGTCATTGTTTGAGGGGGGAAATGTAGGAGACGAGGGGCTTTTCCCGTTGATGATGGATGGAAGTAGGAGTGGCGAACTTGCAAAATCATACAATGGGGCGAGTCACTGTTTATGATTTATCCCATAGAAAAAATTCAATTGGTTGGGGGATCTTTTTCTTTAGAGAACTTGCATGCGAAGTTTCGCAATGCCGGGAGTCGGGTCGTCAAATATAATTTAAATTAATCGAACAAATGTAATTAACCCTTAGCCAATAATTTGTGATCCGAATTTTTATTTTTTGTTTATGTTAATATCGGTGGGTGTAATATCCAAACGGCCTCAGCGGTTTCCATAAATCATAACTATTCCCACCCGCATCACAAAGATGGTATCTACTTAAAACTGTGTGAAGCATAAGAATTTCATCGCACGAATTCCGCCCACGGCGAAGTCGATAATCTAATTAGAGCTTTTTAAAAAAAAAATTAAGTCATCAAGTTGGCCAAAATAAAACTTTAACTCTTCAATTGAATAAACGCCCAAACTTAAGCCCTTTTATACGCTTATCTCTATTACCGTCAAGAGGATACCGTCAAGAGGATTAAATCAATAACTATAAACCGGTAAGTCATTAGTGGGCTCTTCATCACTTGTTCCTCTTTAATGTAATTGGTAATTGAGTTTTTCATAATCTTAAATCAGACGTTTGCTACTAGGAGTGAGTAATCGGGCCAGTGAACCAGCCTTATCGGTTCCAAGCTAGTTCATCAACGTCATCGTTTTCTATCGCTAGTTGAAGCCGGGGGTCCATATTTTGGCCAGGGAAATGTAGGAGAAGAGGGGCTTTACTCGTTGATGACCGATGGAAGTAGGAGTAGCGAACTTGGAAACATCATATATATAGTGCCATACATAGTCAACCAAAGTGTAATTAGGGAAGAGATTCACCCTATCCCTAAGTTAGCCTTTTACTCTTTTATCAAACGCCCTGCCGTCCCTCAATCTCAAATTCGTATGCGATTCGCCGCCCTCCTCTCCACTCCTAGGTACTCTCCACATGTCGGTTTTGTTTTACTCCATGCGAGGAGCACTAGTGTGGTAGGGGTAAGGTCTAGGTTTTATTCTTTAGTGTCGATGCCATATGCCGAAAGATTTCTAGCGGTTTCGATAAATCCTAACTACACCCACCTGGTTCTACTTAAACGGTGTGAAGCATAAAATTTCAATGACTGAATGCCACTAATAGCAAACTCGATAATCTGATTAGAGCTTCTTCTTTTTAAAAAAATTTTAGTCATTGAGTGGCTAAAATAAAACTGACTCTTCAACTGACTAAATGCCCAAACTGAAAGCCCTTTTCTACGCTTATCTCTATTACCGTCAAGAAGATTAAATCAATATCTATAAACTAGTGAGTCATTAGTGGGTTGTTCATCACTTATTCCCCTTTAATGCAATTGGCAATTGAGTTTTCCATGATAATAAATCAGACGGATGTTATAACAATAATTGGCAATTGGATGAGTTCGTTCTTTGGCTGTTGCTGTTAATAGTTTCCAAACCGTACAAACATCCTGGAAAGTGGATCCAGGTTTACCCTCAACATTAAGCATCATCCATAATAGCGAAAGCAGACGGAAAGTGTTGTTTTTTTGTTTCTTTTGCTCTGGGTATCTGAACAGTGTCAAAATTAAGTGATCCATTTTTAAAAAGTGTTGGCTGGAAAAATCTTTTACTTTATGTCGAAAAGTGTAGGCTGGAAAGATCTTCTTCAGATGTCAAAAGTATAGGACTGAAAAATCTTAGTATTAGCAAAAAAATCTGGAAAATGGATGTTAACCCTCAGCCACACATTTTACATCAGAGAGAAAGTGACCAGTGTTTTGCTTCAAAATTTCCACGCGTTGACAAGTAGTAAAAACTATAAAGTAGGGTATCAACTACCCCACACACGTCACCCCCTTGTAATACTCAAACTATTTAATAAACATTTCCCTTGGTCATGCTAGCAACTCTCAAGTTTTGTTTGGATCATAGCGTTAAGGTAAAATGACACAAATAATTTTAAATTTTAAGACAGAGTGTGCTAAAGAACGAAAATGAACTGCATAAAAGCATCAGTTGGTGAACTAGTTCATTGAGATGGCGGCTCGATTACAGTGAACAAAATGCTCATGGCACCAACTTCACTGGCTCAAGACGATGAGGTGAGTACATGAGACTGATTGTCACGCATATCATAAAAAGCCACTATCTTGTTCAGGGAGTCAACACATATGCACTGCACTCTTTAAAAATATCAGTAACACTTCCCTCCGGATGAACCCTGCATCTCTAAACTCAAGTGAAGTACCGACTCCGACAAGTGACAAAATGATTCACGAAAGTCCTGAGAGTGAGGATACTGCTGCTTGTTCTGCTAGGCCGCTAGGTGAAGCTATATACACAATCTAACCCCCCGAACTACTCTACTCTGAGTCCAAGTGCGGCGAATACAGTAAAATTTATAAAGAAAATCCTGCAGTTAACATTAGATACTAGGTGGTAATCAGTATCAAGGAAAAGCAAGAACGGAGAAGAAGCCATGTCGGTCAATCAGCAACTGCGTATCGTACTACAACGCGTTGCTTATTTAAGCTTAACTAGTTCAACGAGAACATCTTTGAGAGGCTGAAAATAGGGCTTTTGGAATTCGGTGTCTTTTTACTGCGACTAGTTGATGCTGTGAGTATTTAGTATGGGAACCTGTGTGGTAGAGTTGGTAGAGGTTCTTGTCTAATTTGGAGTTGAGTTTTCCGTTCCTTGTGTGAAATTCAGATCTATGATTTATCTATAGTGAAAACAATGTAGCCTATAAGAAATTTGGTTGTGTTTTGACAATAACTGTGAGCTGGATGTGTCGTTCTTTGGCTGCGTCTTGTTTGGCCAAAACAAACTTCACAGAAGTTTCTCTTTACATTCAGCATTAAGTAAAATCTGTAAAGCAGAAGGAAGTTTTTGTTTCTTTTACTCTGGGTATCTGAACAGTTTGACATTTTGAATGCTTTCACCTGCAGTTTGATGTTGTGATATGATATTTGAGGAAGTTGTTCTTGTACTTATATCAATGCATCTAATCACTTTTAGAACCCCTCAACCTCTAGGTTTGGATCTACTTTTTAAAAGTCATTGCATGATCTGATAGTTGAGGCGAATGGAATTGCATATTCTTCTGGATATCATGATTGATACCTGTGGATAACAATCATCAACAACATTCTAAACCTTACTGGGCGCATGGGATTGGCTTGCTAGAAGCGAATACTTGGATCTCTTGTGTGAAGGATGAAACATAGCTTCGTCCTATAATGTCTTCCTCAAACTAAGAATGAGAAAGAAAAAAAAAAAACCCACAATCAACACCAGAAAGTCATTTCACAAAATGATTTTACAAACCGAATCATATAACCTTTCACAATTCCATTTACCAATTAGAATGGATTTTGTAAAGCATTTCGCAACCAAATCTTACGAACTGTTCGGTTCCTAAAACATTAACCAAAGCATTACAAATGATCATTGGCTCTAACAGGATAGATTTCAATTTCTAGTTTGGAACCTAACCACCTTAAAACCAATCACTTTTAAATGCCATAATAGTTCATTTGCTTTTAATCTCAAAGCTTTAACCAAAAGATTCAGGAACTCCCATGAACTACATATTATTTTTAAAAAAATAAAATATAACCGTAACGAGAAATTAAATAACAGAGCTACTAGCTAACTTTGGGGATGGATTATCTATTTAAATCTAAAGATCTCATATCCTACGACTATTAAAACTTGACCTTTAGTTATAAAAGACCCATGATAGGAAAATGATAGCGGAAGGATGGATTTTATTGCTCAGCTGGAGAGACAGAGAGAGAGCGTGCTAAAGAACGAAAATGAACTGCAGAACATCACTTGGGGAACTCTTTCATTGAGATGGCGGTTCGAGTGCAGTGAACAAAACGCTCATGGCACCAACTTCACTGGCTCAAGATAATGAGGCGAGTAGATGAGACAGATTATAAAAAGCCACTATCATGTTCAGGGTGTCAGCACATATGCACAGTACTCTTTAAAAATATCAGTAACACTTTCCTTAAGGTCGAACCCTGCATCTCTAAACTCAAGTAAACTGACTCCGACAAGTGACAAAATGATACAGGAAAGTCCTGAGGATACTGCAGCTTGTCCTTCTTGGTCGCTCGGTGAAGCTCTACACACAATCTATCCCACCGAACTACTCTACCCTGAGTCTGAGGGCAGCAAATACAGTATATTTTTTTAAAGAAAATCCTGCAGTCAACATTAAATACCAGGTGGTAATCAGTATCAAACAAAAGCAAGAATGGAGAAGAAGCCATGTCGATCAATCAGCAACTGCAGTATCTTTATGCAGCACGTTGTCTGTTTGAACTTAACTAGTACAGCGCGAACATCTTCGGGACGCTCGGCAAGTCTGCACAAAACTTGGGGTAAAAACTTGTCCAAGACAACGTAGCACTAATGGAATCAACTCTGATGGAATCAATTCTAGCAAACAAAAAAAAAAAAAACTGGAATCAATTCTAAATGGTACAGTCATTGTCTAGACGAGGTTCCTTTTCTAAACACTTATATAAGGAATCAATGAGTTGACAGAAATGGCTCGCAAAGCCGAATAGCAAACATGACCATTAGGAGATAGAATGACATATGCAAAGGGCCTGCAAGTCCTCACCTGCGGTCGACCAGGGTCACCAGCCATTGGTCGACGCACGGCGACCTCGGCCAACCCTCATCCCACCATCACTGGCCCTTTCTAGTGATGGCCCTTTCCGGCGATGGTAAGGCGGCGGCGAGGGCCGGCCCTCACCTAGTTTGCGGCGGCCTTTTTTTTAAAATTTAATTTAATTAATATTTAAATTAAAACATTAGATTTGGACCAAAACAATGTCGTTTTAGCCTAATCCTTTATGTTTTAATCATGTCAACGCCATATAGGATAAATGAAATAATAAAAAACCATACTAAAATCGGTTAATATTACAGTATTTAAGAAAAAAATTGAAGCAGCAGAGTTGATTGCCGACAAATTTGACAATTCTATAGCA